CCCCAAAACCCCAAAACCCCAAAACCCCAAAACCCCAAAACCCCAGCCCTAATCTCCCGTGTTGAAACAAGAGGGTTTTAAAATAGAGAAAGCCAAATTCCTACAAATTCTTATCAAAAATGATATTTACTGAGTCTTTTCCTTTGGCTTTACCTTGAAAGCCTTGATTCCAAATCAGTTCTCCATACTAACAATGATTGATCAGAAACAAGTTAGGCTGTTGATCAATAAGTAAGCGGCAATGATGTACCAGAAGTAGAACTCATAAGTGCCAAATATCTCAGGACAGAAGATTGATGCTACTATCCCTCCGACTATTGAGAAGATGGAAATCACGAAAGGAGGCGTGCTGTATGGGTAAAACTCCTTATTAGCCAAGTGTCCGAACATTAGGTGCAGCACTAGGTAGGAACTACCGAAGATTATGATATAAATAATACTCCTACCTCCTTCTATTGGGTGGTGAATTATGTCATTGGGACTCACAAATGTGGCTACGATTCATAATGCAACAAGGAGGAAATATGAGGAAAATTGTATGTAAAACTTCTTGTTCTCAAACTTTCTTTCATATTTCTTTGCATTAATAATTTCAAACATCATTTCAATGTTCTGATAAATCTGAAAGATTACAAAAAAGGCTGCATATGCTTGGCCCCTGTTAAGGCCGAAAATGATTGGTTTACTCCATTCTTCCCAATGGAACGAAGCACAATAAGCGCTGAAGAAAAACTCAAGAAGGCTTCCTTCTGATACTGGGTTGATTATTGGTAGGTAGTACTCTCCTATATAGTAAAGGTAAGCTATTTTCAGGTAAATGTTAATAACAGGTATAACATTCGTTTGGATATTCCACATTAGAGAAAGATTTTTATTAAATATTGCTCTCCAAGAGATTACTTACCCATATAGAATTCCTTAATGTTATACATGAAGTAGCCTGTAGGTGCTAAGATAGCAAACACAAAGGTTAAGTATCCAGACCCTATTTGCCTGTATCTTGCAAGTGTAAAGACTGCTAGGCTAAAAGTGATAGCATCACATCCATGGTCAAACATTTGCCCAAGAGGGGAGGAATTCTTTGTATTTCTGGCATGCTTTCCATCCATATTGTCTAAAGTAATGTATGCCATGTGCATTATTCCAACTGTTAAGGCAGCCCACTGCTCTGTCTCTCCTTCGAAGGCAGGCCCGTATAGAACTAATGATACAATATGAGGGATTACCAAGCAAAGAGCTCCAGCAAAAGTGATAACATTAGGGGCAACCCAGCCTGGTACAAATTTGACGAAGAACTCTGCTACTGGTGAATGGAAATATTTGTATGAGATTCCATTATCTCCTCCCTTATATTGATAATTATGAAGAGCTTTCTTGTTCTCCTCATCTAATTGGACATTTTTTGTGCTGAAGAGTACCATGATTTTAAATTTATTATTTCAGGGCTAAATATTCCTCTAGGGGTTTTGGGGTTTTGGGGTTTTGGGGTTTTGGGG